GATCCAGTTATAAACCTACAAATGCACATGTCTATAAACATACAGATGTCACAGGCTACTCCATGTCCCCTATGGTATGTCATCTGACTGCCTATAAAGGCATAATACCAGCGGTTTAGTTACTTTTGCATCCTATCTTCAGGGTAGAAGTAACTTGAGTGCCTGAGTGGGCTGAACGGAGAAGTGAGTCTGCTGCAGGAAGGGCCCGTGGGAACAGTTTCGGTGGGACAGCCGGCGTTGCCTGACTCTTCCAGGCGGCCCTGTCACTCATGGGGAACGCTGCACTTCGCGTGAACACTTGACCCTCGCGGCTCCCACCCAAGACAGCTGAGTATTTACGTGGCTTTTATTAATAACCACTTTGACTGCTTTGCTGAGCAGTTTGCACAGTTTTTAAAGAAAATAATAATACATTTTCTGAATCTTTAACATAAAATCATGACATCGGCTGAGATGTCATTGGATTACAAAATTGGAGAAAAAAACATGAATGGGGGGGTGTCTTTGTATGTGATGGTACTTATTTACGGCTCATAGCAGGAAAAGCCGATAAAAAGACAGATCTTAAAATTTGAAGAAAGAAGGAAAACTCTGCACCACAGCCCAGTGTAAAGCCTCACATATAGAAATAACCTTCAGGTCAATTTTTGGCTTGGATGAAACTTTCTTCGTCCATCTCCTTGAGCAAAATTGTATCTAAGTTTGCATTGGACACTGTATTTTTTTCTGAGACTATCTGCACTGTGTCAGTCGTGACCTACTCTTTAACTCAGCCCATATTTTCCAACTGAGCGTCTCAGGGTCTCCCTCCTCATGCGCTGTTGAAGTCCGCCTGCTTTGCGTCAGAGGTTGACACCTCTCTGGAGACATTCGGCTATGATAAACAATAATGTTCCTGTCCTAATACAGCCAGGAGGAAAACCCTGCAGATTAATGGAACATCTACAACATGTACTTTCTGTAAATAAAGGCGCCAAGATGGCCGTCACAAATCACTTGTATGGTTGTAGGTGATTTGGTAGGAGGTTAAGTGACTGGTTAGAAACTGCTGTCGCTCCTTGCAACAAATTAAATATGAAATCGTCTGGATTGGCTTGGAATGATAATAAGGCTTAATTTTAAAGATGGAAGTAGAGCTGTCGCGATACCAGATTTTAGGCTTAATTTGGATACAGATGCTGGGGAAACCCTACTGGGTCAGTGTCTTGGTCCCAGCTCAAGCTCATGACTAGAGCTTGAGCTGAGAGCTTGACTAATCAACCCAGCTGTCTTCCCTTGTCTTAATTACCCCATGTGTAAGTATTTAGTCTTTGAGCTCCACTACCTTTGTGCCGGTTTGTCTCAGTATCTTGTGTAATATGTTAGTAGCAGTCCAGCCTTTTGTCTTAGTGACCTTCTGGTGAATTACCTTTTGACTGAACTCTTTCGACCTGTTTTTGTCTAGTGATTATTTGTTCCTGTGATTGCTTCTAGTAAACTTTTGATGAACTCTAAAACTTTTCTCAAGATTTGTACATTTTTGGCCAACGTTTTTGCCGAGTCTGACGTATCTGACATTGTGAGCCTAGATTTATAAAAATATGAATAATCTTTTTAACCCACTAGTAATTTTGGTGATGACTAGACAGCACAATGACATTTAATTGTTTACACGTCACATCCCAGCAGCAACCTCCGGTCTTCAAAAATGAAGCCGATGCGGAAGTGAAGAATTCTGAATTTCACCGAGTGTCCCCTTGAGGCTGACTCCAGGAACCCCGGGAGTCACATACAGACCACAGGCAAAAAAGCAGTTTTTACAGCATGAATTAACATGTTTACAGCCCAGTACAAAAAACTAAATAGGTCTGATTAGTTATTGTCCTCACTGACACACACTGTACGGGGTGATTTTTTTTTAACGGCTCCGTTTTGATTTTATGAACGATACTTGTTATCCATAGTTAGGCGTGTAGCTGACATGATTGACAGGTGGGTGCGGTGTAATGGTTCGTCAAGAGGCTTAAAATCCACCTCAGCTCCAGCTGTCAGCCTGTCGTTAGGTTGACCGAAAGTTAGACTGAGACAGCATTTCCAACATGGCGGCTGCTGCCAATAAGCCTCCGGCACCCCTGCAGGAACAGATGGCTGACGTCACTCAGGCTTCGTCCATTAATATTCACAGACTATAGTTACATCCCTATTTAATTCCATACAGCTGACATGATGACTGCTGCAAAAAATGGAATCATCAATGGCCTAACGATCCCGAGAGCATGCTTACATTGGCTGCACATTGCCGAATAGCTGTTGTGTGGTTTTTGTGGCCCCCACTAAACTGTTGATCTGTCAGTCTGCATATGCTGACTGAAAACAGCAAACGAAAGCTCCAGAAGTATTTGTCACTTGTCTTTGCAATCTCGTGAATTTCCAGCAGTTCAGGGTTGGCCGAGGTGATTTTATATATTCAGCACATGCCTGCCATGCCTGGAACCACTGAACCCCCCTCCGGCATCTCATCTGCTCCTGGAATGGCCCTGCAGTGCAGACAGTGTCTGGGATTCCTCGAAGTTCTAGCAGCCTCCATCAGTCTGGACATATTTCGGGACTTTTTCACAGCTTTCTAACGTGGACAAATTTGGTCTGAAAGTTTGGAGCTAACTTTACATAAAGGGACACATGCAAGGTCAAATAACAATCAACAGTCAGTTCATGGTTTCTAGGATAGCTGTCAACATGCCGGTGCAAGTCAATGAGTCACAGCTAGTCAGGAGGTGTTCGTCTCAGTTGACCACCATTTTATTCAGTTACATCCCTTTTTATTCAAGCAGCTGTTGTGAAAGGAGTTTATCCTGTGCAGAGTTTTCAGTCTGTTGATGATCTCTAGAATAAATCTAATCTTTGTGACTGATGTGTTGGAAATGTTACACATTTTTCTCGCTGACTTGCTGTGCAATGACTCAAAGGTTACTTTGAGAGTAATGTTGAAATCATTTAAAGTGTACTGAGTAAACATCGCTCTCTGTTAATAGTTCTGGATAACATTGTTCTCCCCAATAAAGTACACAGACTTCTTTAGACCAAAAAATAAAGTGTCTTGTTAGAGTTGCTGTGAGGAGCTTTTGTTTCAGGTCAATTTTGGTGCCCCCTGTGGACAAACATATTATCTCTTCTTGATCTTGTCCTGTACATGTCCGAGTTGGGATTTGGAGAAAAAAAAACTCCCTCTTCTTTTTTAAACTCTCAAATGAATCACTCACTTCGTAAATACATTTCTCTTGCAGATGTATAGAACAACACTAAAACACTAAACAGCAGTAAATCCCTTCATCTGACCCCTACCTCCCCGGTGCCGTTTTTGGACATCCAAATACTTCTAAAAAGTGAATTAGTCTCGTAACTGATTGTCTCCTTTTTGTAGCTCATAGAGGGGCATCAGTCTTATCTTAAACCTGTTTCATTACCAGTTAAAAATAATCCCCCAGGATCTATAAAGTTTATGAAGTAATTGAAAATTGTAAACTAAAGTGCTCCTCCTTGAAAGCTATAAGTACCCTATCCCATATAAGTACTTGTATCACTGCTATAAAGTCACTTCCCTGGCGTTGCTCCATGGCGTGTCTTGTATGAAGCATCAGTTGTCTGCAGCTGGTTTTACAAACCTTTAAAAAGAATGGAGGCAGTGAAATCAGCTGTTGTGCTGCTCAGTCAAAACCTTATGGTTCATTTTTGGCCATCTCTGATTAAAGCCCTAATGTCATATGTGGTCTGGCTCTATCTGTAAATCTTACTGATACTTCAGGGATCCCTCAAGGCCTTGTCTTTGGTGCTTGTCTGCTTGCAGACAACAGGTTTATTCAAGGGAGGGGCAGTGGAGGTCAACAAACAACTGACCAATGACCAATGGAAGACTTATAAACCCCCTTAAAGTTGCCTTAATATGGCCTTTAGTTAAACGATATTGATACCAGTTTTGACACCAGGAAAATACAAATTCAAATTCGAGGGATCAAAAATTGGGTACTTGGCTTTCAATTTTCAAAATTCCAGCACACTGTTTAAACGTCACATATTCTGCAAAATACATTTCACTATGTTCTTCTAACTCTAATATGGGTCCCTAATCTGTCTACAAACCCCCCAATGATGAGACAAGTCCATCCTCTCCATCTTTTCCCTGCTCCACTTTTCAGAAAATGTGTGCTCAAACAGGCCGTTTGGAGATTTTCCCTCATGACATCACAAAGGACAGTAACCCCTCCCCCAGGTGGGCGACACTCCCAAATCTAGGTGTTTGTTCTGCCCTCTAAGTCTGCCTTCTCACCGTAAACAATAGGACATGGAGCGAGAAAGACCGAGACACCCAAGCCCTTCCAGAGAGGGGCGTGGTCAGACACAGATCATTTACATTTAAAGGTACAGACAGAGAAACAGCCTGTTCTGAGCAGGGCTGAAATAGAGGGGTTTATAGGCATGATCAAATACAGGATCAGAGTGGATTTAGAACAAGAAAACTTCACAGACATGTTTTGAGGAGCTCTGAGACTTATTTAAACTGGTTCAAGAGGAGGAGAATATGTGAGCTTTAAATTGCACTCATTTGCATTTGCAACATTTCAGTACCAAAACATTGCCATGGTATCTGTAATTTTCTCAGTGTGCAGGAGTTTGCGGGCAATCTTTTTAAGGATTTATTTCTCTCCCAGGCCCCCGTCTTATGATACCGATGTTTGTTTTTTAAAGCTTAAAGTACTTTAAAGTACTTTGGACAACCTTATTTCACTCATATTGGATCTAACTTTAAGTTTATGGACACTTTTTTCTGTCATATGGAAAAGCTAATCTTAGAAGCTTCACACCTCAGAGCTTGGATATCATAGAGTCTCCTCACAGTCACAAACAACATTAGCACCACCCCTCTGGTCTAAACGGTTCGACAGCACAGACAGACAGTGTAATGTGCCTTTTCTGTAAGTATGTGTGCTAGTGTTAACTGTTTTTGTGCTCATAGTTTCTCTTACCTCCAGGCAGACTGATGGGTCCGCAGCCGAGCCCCTGTTCATAGTTTTCTGAGCTGATGTAGATGTACTTCTTGCACAGCCTCCACAGGCCGAAGTGGGCCGCCTCGCAGGTCTGGTTGACTTGATCCACCTTCGGGCTAAGCACTGCCCAGTGGTCCGTCACCACCGCCGTGAACATGCAAGCCATACCCACCAGCAGGACGAAGATGGCGATCTTTATCTTGGTGCGCTTGTGCATGTTTTCAGGTGTCAGATGTTCTTTTCAGTGAATATTCCTCCCCTGGTATGAGGAAATCAATCTATAAAGTTGGATTTTCTGCAGTGTGGACACAGCGGTCTCTGTCCCAGGGGCTTTTTCCTTCAGTGACTGCAGCAGAGTCTCTTCTTGTTTCTAGTCTAGTGTCTTCTCTCCCCTGTCGCAAATCTGTGCTTGTGGTTCGGAAGGGAAAGGGGCCAGACTGCTCTGTCCTACTTTCTAGTCCCTTTTTCCCTACTCACTACACTGTGAGTTGCTGCACAAGTGAGGGGCTGCAAGTTTAGACTTACAGCTGTTGAGGTAGATCAGAAAAGTTGATGACCAAACCAACTGTCTGTCATGCATGGTGGGCGATGGGCGTGGGGGCTCCTGCATGTGTTAAGTGTTTTGCTGTGGGTGGGGAGATATCGGGGGGGGGGGATGGGGTGGTTGCTATAAATGTGACCAGTGAGTCAAGTTGTCAGGCTGTCTGCCTATCTGGTTACAGTGCAGGGGATGGGGATTTGGATTTGTCTTTGTAAACTATTTATAAGGAGAGAGTGGATGTGTTTATAACAAGCAGCAGTAAGGCTCCAGCTGCCAGACAACAGTATGGAACATCACTGCTTTTAATATTTCTCAGGATGCTTCAAATTAAGTTAAAAATGATTGTAATCGTTGGGGCACAGGTGGTGCAGTGGTCTCCCTGATTTCCGGCTCTATCCACTGTCCTATATTGTAATTGCTTCCTCACATAAGGCCAGAGCTTTACTTACTTTTAACTTGATGGCTGACTCGTGCCCAAGCATTGGCTGTGCACATCCCTAAAAAATTAATTTAACACGGTCACATGATACAGTATGCATATGAACGTTAGGGGCAGCGTACAGGCAGATGTGAGTAAACGCAGCAGCAGAGACAACAATGACAAAAAGACAAGCTGACAGACCGAGCTCACAATGATCCACATCTCTATGTAGGGACGACTGTGGCGACTTGCTAAGCCTGCTGCCCCAATAAGTGGAAGATAATGGATCAATGGATGGATGGATGATGTGTCATTGCCACCACTGCACAGGGACAATCATACCCGTCAAATAAGTTCTCAACAAACAAGTTACAATTTAGAAGTTAATGTTGAAATCTGCAAAACTGACGGAGCGTTACGTCCGCGCATGGAGGAAAATATTGGAGAAACTGAGTGTGTACAGTGCAGACACGTGAAGTTCATTGCCAACAGTTACCTTCATGACACAGATGGATGGTGTACATCAACAAAAGGTTACAAAAAAGTGTTTCTCCAGCCTCATATATTATCTGCTTGGTGTCAAGGTAAAATCTTTCCATAGCATTTCTTCTTACCTTTGAGAAAATCTCAGTAGACGAGGAGCCGTGTTAAACAAAGGAATACAGGTGGACAGGTAACGTTCATGTCTTGCTCATGTGACAGCACACTGCTGTGTCTATTTAATTACCCTTCTATGGTACTTTTCTATACTTTGATCATTAAAATAAGGGAGATTGTATCGCTTATAGCACATAATATTAAGAATGTATCAACGTTTCAAACATTTTGACAACCTTCCAGCTTAGCTGACGACCAGCCAACACCATCAGACTGTGTCGTCCCACAACCACCGCTGTCCTCATTCATGCACGTCCCGCTGCGACCTCCACCTCAGCGGTAAGGAAGTGTGAACAACAGGAACATGAGGAATACAAACGAGAAATCCTTCCTGCATATTATCCTTGTCTTCTACGATCCCATTTTTCTTTTGTAACATAACAATGAGTAAAGTCTTTTACCTGCTTTTTGTAAAGTGTCTCAATATAACACTTGTTATGAATTGGCGCTAAACAAATAATAATTGATTGATTGATTGATTGACCTTGTGCAAGCACTGCCCAGAGGAAATGCTCCTCCATGCTCCATTTTGTGTATATCAGAGATCAAATGTATTTACGATGGCCAAACCGAGCACAATCTTAATATTTCATTAAAGATTGAGGGTCAAAATCAACCACCTGCTCTCAGAGGTGCTGCTTCTCAACAGGCAAGTCAGGCAACAGCTTGGGGCCCCTGGCCAGTAGGGGGCCCAATCGAGGACTGACAAACTTTAAACCATATGCAACAGTGGCTTAGGAAGTGCACATTTTACAATGACAGTAGAAAACCTCCCTAAGGAGGCCCTACTGACGGTACTCAATGTTGTTGCACCGCTAAGCGTTCTGATATTTCTAAAAAAAAATTAAATGTGTCACTTAATGTTGCCGCTGGTGTCAGATAAGTTTTTAACATAACGGCGATTAATACTAGTTGGAGGGGCCCCCAGTGAATTTCACTTTGTGCCCCAACAGACTCTAGTCGCCATTGGTTGCTCTTGGGTTCCAGCGATGTGAAATTTGTCTAGTTTGGAACAAAAATCAACAATTCATAAAAAAAAAACGTTTTCCTTTGATACCTTAACTTTACTACTTACTTTGACTAGTAATGTGTTTATGTGCATCATACTGTAGGTCATTTTTACTAAAGACAACAGAGCTATTAATTAAGTGGAGGAGGTAAATGAAACAAAAAGAAAACACTGTAGATTAAAGGAAACCCCCTAAAGTTGTGCTTTTCCCATTGATAACTCCCCTACATGAAATCACAGTGGTACATCTCTGTTTCTCTTTTTTAAGCGATGGCCCACTTTAAGTGTCTTTATGAGAAATGTGACCCACTTCCCCTCGGCTTGAGCACAGACAGCAGTGAAAGTCAAAGATGTCTCATTAGTATTTAAGGAATATCTGCAAACCTGCACCCACAACAAGCCCACACAGACAGACAGACACAGACAGACGGACAGACAGACAGAAACACAGACAGGCAGGCAGGCAGACAGACACACAGACAGACAGACAGACAGACAGACAGACACACAGACAGGCAGACACACAGACAGACGGACAGACAGACACACAGACAGGCAGGCACCCATTACTAATGTAAACACGAGAGGGGAGGGGGGTTAAATGGTTAAATCTGCGTGAAGCTGATTTAGCTTTCCAGTAATTTCCTGGATGGATTAAAAACAATCATTCAGTTTGCATATTTTACTCATGCACTTCTGCACGAGCCTGGAATCTGAAATGAGTAAATGTGTATATTTATTTACACAGCTGTCCTCAAAGATTTGGTGAACCTGTCATCCTAAATTGGCAAATTGCCCATATATATATGTGTCATCCCTGGATAGACAGCGGACTGTCCAGCCTTCCTCTCACCCATGGGAACTGGGATTGGCTAGAATAACTCTTCATGCTCTGACACAGGGCACCACAACGAAACACCCGTTACTTGTTTCTTTGATGTGCTTGAACCAAATATATTTACGACCCTCATGCCAGTCTATTTTGGTTTTAAGAGAGATGCCTCCTAAATGCTTTGTAAGCTCAATTTATAGTCGGTGTATTCTAACTTTTAAAGGGTTAAAGTTCATGTTAGGTGAGGAAGGAGAGCAGACAAAGAACAATGCTTCTGACTTTACCTTTAAACACCGTTTAATCTTTGTGCAATAAAGAAATGGATGATCAACAGTTTGTTACAAGTATTGGAGTTATTTTCAAAGTACAGCTATTTGTAGATCAATATGCCGACACTTTGTGATAAACTGTTTATAAGGTGGGTCCCGTGCCAACTGAACCTTAACAGAATCTCTTTTGTAACCTTACTTTTCATCTTATTTCATTAAATGGGTTTTAATGGTCAATCTTTAGTCAGTTAGAGAAGAAACAGCGTTGTTAATCTGTTGTAAATAATATATAACAGGGCCCAGAACTAATCCCTGCGGTACACCTTTTGTTAATGGTAAAATCACTAATTGGATATGTTCCATGTTTGCCACATTGACACCATTGAGTGAGTTGAGGAATTTAATCAAACCACCACAGAGTTCCCGAATAGACAGGAAAAGGTCAACAGTTTGAAAGATAAATGAAAAGCTGTGAGAAAGCAACACTTGGTATGTGGGTGTAGGAGGTCGGAGAGGTACTGAGGGGCAAGGGCGTGGAGGGATTTATAAGTGAGGCGTTGTATTGCACGCTCAGATTTCACACAGCAGCTTCAGTTATAAAAGGCTGCTTTACTGATAGTGCCGTAAGCCTGACACACTTCTCACGAGACAACCCGCTGCCAGTTACATACTGCAGTTTTACAGTATTCCACTGGTTTCAATTTAACTGTCTTTACTGTGTGTGTGTGTGTGTGTGTGTGTGTGTGTGTGTGTGTGTGTGTGTGTGTGTGTGTGTGTGTGTGTGTGTGTGTCTGTCTGTGGTGGCCTGAATGACTTAACACATAAACAATCAACACTGAAACCTTAATCAGTGCAGTCCTTCCCACACCTTAACACCATTATTTTGAATGATGGTGCTGGTATAATGACTTCGAACCGCTCAACAACTCTGACCTCGTGGTCATCGGTTGGTTGAACCTCTGACCTGAGTCTGAGTCCTGAGGGAGGCAGCTGGCCCTTTAAATGACTTCCAAAGGGAGATAACCTCATCCTGTTGACTAATGGTGTGGACACAACTGCAATTGAACCCTTTAGTTTCTAATCACAGAGAACAGGAGGCTAGTCATTACTTGAACAGAAACCAATCTGTTATAAAGTTTGAGAGTATGTGATTTATCTGTTCACAGATAGGGAATTCAGAATGTAATGGTTATGCCAATTAAAAATTAAATTAATCGGGGTCTGCAGATGGGTGGGTGTCACCAGTGCGAGAATGAAAGAGTACAGGGTCAGATAACAATTCATGCCCCATCCTGTGAGTAATGGAACTATTTCAGATGGACAATTATTCCCAGGCAAGTTAAAGGTAGAGTCTGAAGTTTTTTCCTAAAAAATAAAATACAGACTTACAAAAGCAAAGCTGTCAATCATTAGTTATTGGCCTCCATATGTGTGTGGTGGTGACTGTGTCTGCAGAGACGCTGTCCTCTGACTGGATTTTGGTTGACTCTGGATGTTTCTGGGTGGGAAACTGGTGTGATTCCCACGGCTAATGAAAGCCCACATGATTTTGGGAAAGAGAGTGGATACAATTCAGCAATTGGACACGATTAAAACCGGCACTGCTCCACTACCTCGATGTAAACAGGCACAGTGAACAGATAGTATCTTTAAGGAGCAGAGCGGCTTAAGAGTATTTTGATGTAGAAAATGGAGATAAAGTTGTATGACACAGACTTAATGGTACACTCACAG